TTGCTACAATTACTGCGAATTTAGGCTCTTAATTGCCCGTGTTTTCATTTATTGTTTAATTTTCTTTTTCTCTCTCTGCAATATCTGTAATTGGTATCTAGTATATATTCTATAATATCCAATATTTATTTATTTTAAAAAAGAACGATTCCATACAAAAACCAAATCTATCTATAGACTATAATATTCCATAATAGCTCAAATACTCCGATCAATTTGAAGTTAGAGCGGCATTGATAGTCAGTAAATCTTATATTACACAGTTATAAGTCAATTACAGAGTCGCATTAGCATATTTTAAGACATTACTTAAGACAATTTTAAGAACAGACTATGAATGCCGATCCTAGTCTTTTCATAACAACAACCTTTCCAAATTCTACGTAAATTTAAATGGTTCGAGCTTTAAAATCTCTGCTCTTTTTCTCTCTTTCACTCCCTCTCTTTTAAATGACACACATTACACATGTCACATATGCAGCCATATGAACACTGTGAACAGACCTTCATTATCGATACTCGACGTCTCGACGTCGACTTTTCGGTATCGGAATAATCGAGTTGCAGCAGAGCGGAGTATCGATAAGCCGTCGTCCAGCAGCTCCGGCAAGCTCGAACTGGCTCGAACTTCGAAGCTTCGGGGCATCATGCCATGTTCTCGCGCGTCGTCGCACGTGTAAGTGTGCGCTGTCGCCTTGTGAGTCAGCAAAAAGAGAAGGGAGTTGGCGATAATCTGTTGTCGCGGCTGTTACGAGCGAGTACCATCGGAAACGGTGGGATTCAGGGCGCGCGTTACTGCGGGAAAACGTCTCAGGTTGCCGTCAGCGAGCCGTGCGTAGCGATGGGCGACGAGAAGCCGTTTCGCCGTCTGCCGTTGTGCGTGCGTCCCTATCATTACGATATCTCGTTGACGCCGCATATCACCACCTTCACCTTCAACGGCACGGAGAAAGTGCATCTCAATGTGAGTTCTGTCACCCGTCGCCATTCCTCTCTCGCTGCCTTCCACTCTCCGTCCTTCCTTTCAGTGAAAAATAGAGTCGAATGAGAGATGGAGAACAAAGCGGCCGCTAACCATATGGGAAACATAACCAAGAAACGCCCCGCCCCCCACTAATCCCTTCCCCGCCGCCGGTTTCTGTTTAAATAGCATTTAGATTCGAATCTGATTGGCAAACATCAAGGCGGACCGCCTTATCTTCTAATTGCCGGCAATCGCGATTTTAATCCCTCGATTTGCTTGTTAATTTCACAGTGACGCGAATTCTAATTGCACTTGCGAATGTTATCTATTATTTTTCTCTCGTTAATCATATTTTATGCTTATCTTTGCGACATACATGACGATTGCGAAAATTCTTATTCGTTTTTTTTCTTTTTTTTTTTGGATTACAGGTGGAAACTCCTACGGATACCATTGTATTGAATTGTTTGGAAATCAATATAAAACGCGCGAGTTTTTATGGAAATGATGGCAAGACCATTGTGCCCGAGAAAATTGTATTATCAGGATTGGAGGAGACAGCCACGTTGGTGTTTCCTGAAGCTCTGCCATCTGGTAAAAGCGGATACCTGAATATAGAATTTGTGGGAGAGATCAATGATAAGATGAAAGGCTTTTATAGAAGCAAATATAGTGGGTAAGAATACAACTGACAACTTTGAATATATAAAAAAAAAATTACCAAACTAATCTCTGTCCAGCTGTTTGATTAGAAAAAGAACCTTTTTAACAATATATTTCAATTTCTGTTTGTTAATTTTAGCTCCTGAAAATTATATAACGTATGGAATAAATGAAGACAGAGTGTTTAAACTATGTATTTATATGTATCTTTCAAAGGCAAGATGGTCAATGCGCTGTAACCTATTTGTGTCCTACATCAGCACGGAAGTTTTTTCCATGTTGGGACGAACCATCTTTTAAAGCAACCTTTGATATACATCTCACAATTCCATCTCGGCCATATCTTGTTGGGTTATCGAACATGGTGAGCATCCTTGATATAACGTAGAATTTTTTATGATTTCAGGGAGGATGGTACCGTTGAATACGCGGCGGTTACCCAGTTTGAGCCGACAGATGCTAGACGTTGCTTCCCATGTTGGGACGAGCCAGCGCTGAAAGCAACATTTGACATTACGTTAAAAGTACCAATCGGTCTTACAGCACTTTCCAATATGGTAAGCAACGCCAGGCATCTGCAATATTATTTGCTTCTCTTTTTCTTTTGCTTCCTATCTTGTAATTTATATTTAAAGTAGATGTATAATATGTACTTTTTTTTTGTATTTCTATTTGACATTATCTGATACTTAAAATTAATG